TTATAACTAAGTTGTTCTAAATTACATAAGAAAGGATGACTTAGCTTATACACAGCTTGTGTCATTAACAACAAAAATGTATAAATCATAAAGAAAACCCAAGTCATATGTTCTAATGTCTCTTTCTAGTGATGTACAATTGTAGGACCCATCAGGGTCATTGCGTTAGTTAATTTTGTTAGTGACATAACACCTGACAGGGCTAGCTGAAGGGAGGGAGGAAGGGAGGGTTTAACCTGGTTGATGGTTTCACAGTGACTTCAGCTCATCATAACAGAAAAGGCATGGTGGTAGAGGGGCTCCAACTTTGGTGGTAAGAGCATGTGAGGTGAATAACTTGTATAGCATAAACCAGAAAACAACAGAGTGCAACGTTTGTATGGATGTTATAGTAACCTACTTCCGCTGGCCCATCCCAACACCCAAAGGCTCCATAGCCCTCCAAATAGTACTACATACTAGAAGCCAAGCTATTAGCCTTTGGGCTATACCTCAGATTCAAACCATAACACTGTGCATCAAGTCTGTGTTTTGATAACAGTAATACAACGATTTCTTTTTCTCTTACATTTGGCTGCTGTTTTTTCACACACATCTCATCCTTGGGGGAGATACATATATATATCTCCTAAGTGAGAGTGAGTTTTCCTATGATTTTTAAAAATCATTTTCCATTGGTTACTTTTATCCATAGGTTATTACTTTTTATCCTTCCACATCATTTATGTCTATAATTCCTTGGAACTCAAGAAGTTCTGTACTTTCTATCCTGATGTGATCTAGAGTCTTTACCCCTGCACACACTGACCTTTTCTTTACAAGGTCATCAAACCCAGTGACTCTGTTTCCATCCTTATATTGTCATTTCTGCTGAATGTGGCACCTTTGATTGCTCACTCTTTACCTTCAGCTTTGCCCTAGGTCTCTCTGTAACCTCTCTCTCTCTGGTTCTTCCTCTATGTCCCTGGTATTCTACTCAGCTTCTATCCTCTGGGCTTTCCTTTGTCCCTTGAATGGTAGGATGAGCCCTAGGAATTTACCCGGTTCTCCTGTAAGTGACCACACTTACTCCCATGGCTTCAAGAGCCACCCAACTAGAAATACATACACAATTACATAAATATCTCCAACTAAGACCTCCACCTTTACCACTGAGCTCAAACTCTGAACTCTATAGGGTAATTATTAAACACAAAAGCTTCCTATCAAACCTAGATAGCTTAACTCTTTACTTAATGAAAGGCATTGTCACTCACCGTTCTTCACTCCCACCCTCTATTACCTACCCACCTTCTACCATATAATTGGCCCACAGGTCTTTCATTATATCAGGCCTCTAGTATGAATGGTCTCTTCTTTCCTTTCCTAAGACAAGTATCTAGAATAAGACTTTGTCACTCAAGCATTTCCCACTTATTCTCAATGGTCTTCATTGAAACCTTTTCTTTCTCTGCCAACTCATTCTTAACGATGCTCGTTGTAAAATATAGCCCCGAGTAAGTCATTACTTTGTTATGTGGGGAAATATACATGGACTGAATCTACCTGTAAGATAATTTCAGTTTCTTTTTAACTAGGACATGGAAAAGGATTTGACTTGGATGGCCTCTGTTGGCTTTGGTCCCAAGGCACAAATCTTGCCTTTTCTGTTCTAATGTCCATGTGCTATTTTTCTACCCATCCTTCTCTGACTGCCTCACTTACCCCTTGCCTCACTGCATGCTGTCTGTCATTTAACTGTCACCTCTAGTGTGAAAGCTTTTCCAGCTTCCAGAACCAAATGAGTCACTCCCTGCTGCTTTCTTGTGATTATTATGGCAGTGTGCTGAGTTGTGGGTACACTAAAGTAGAATTCCATTAGGAAGATTCATAAACTTCTGCATCTAAAGAGTCTGAGGCCCAGTGTCAGAGAGAGGAGCTTCCCTGTTTGTTCCTAGCTCATTGACCCTCCTAATATTGCATGTTGCCTCTTGTCCTGCTTATTGAACACACCTGTCTGAAATCACATCAGTAACAGAAACATGCTGAAGGCTACAGTCAGAAGCTTCTCTTTGACAGCAAGCATGTCTTCTACATTTTTTTCAAATAACCCAAATATAAGTATGGCATACCCCCCCCCTTTATTAACCTAGTCCAGTCAATGAGACTAAAGCTGAATGCTAAATTCTTCTCGAGCAGCACAGGTAATAATGACCACATCTGGGCTAGATCAAGCTTCATCCTACCAGAAAGACAGATCTCAGAGCCACTACACTACAGTAACTCTCAGAGTTGGTACAATTCACTAGTTATGTCATAACTCGCCAAGTGCTTCAGGATATCTGCTTCTCAACACCCATCTGCCCACCTCCTAGACTACTCCAGCTGTTTCATACTGACAAGGTGTTTGGATGATCATATGTTGTGTTCTGATGTCTCTGACAAGCTGAATCCCTCCCAGAACCTGTCTGCCCATTTACTAGCACACCTCCATCCTCTGATGAGTTCCCATTTAAAGTTTTTCTCCCTCTTGCCCATTCTCTCATGGTTGCCATGGTTGGTTAAGCCAAGACCTGCCATGCATGGAGATGTGTTAATAGTTAACACAAACTTTTATCTGTGTATTTATCCCAAAGGTCCATGGAAAAAAACATTTCATGAACACAGGAAGGAAAAACACACCAAAGTTGGGTGTGCTTCTATCCTGGGCTTTGATCTGATCATATTCTGTATGTTAAGCTCTAGAGATCATGGATATGCCAAGGAGGAACTATATCTTCACTTGTCTACACTGTGGGTGCTAAAGGAAGAGCAATGGAGAAGTGCCTGTTGTCCCTGTCTGTGGGTAAACAGTATTCTTTCAGCCCATCCTAACTTCTTCCGGAGATCCTTCTTTGAATCAGTATTTATTCATGTTTTGCTTGTAAAGAAATTTTGCAAGCCTCTAGGGTTTCTTTCTTATAATTATAATTATAACTTATAATTATATTTGCCTTTCATTTGTTGGCTTGCTTCTGATTATTGCTATAGAAAGTCAGCATTTAGTCTACAGGATTCTCAAAGTCAGTCTTTCTTTACCCCTTGCTTTAAGTCTTTCTTAAGTAACCATGTCTTTCTATTTATTCTGCTTGTAAATTTAGGTAACACTGTCATATTCTTTTCTCTCCTCCTTCTAGGATCTGTTTCTATGCCTCTCTAATATGTCTGAGCCCCTCTTCTGTATTTTAGTCTTTTGTTCACCTATGCCTTTCTTTGTGTTCATTATTCTGACTTGTCTTACAGTTCATTTCTCACTTCATTACTCAATCTAATTTTCCCAAACACCCTATTTTGGAGTCTTTAATTTAGATAGTATAGGTCTTTTGGGAGTGGAGGGTTCTAAAATTTGCAGTTGGCTCTTTTTAAGGCTGTGGTGTAGCTTTATATAGTTTTGATTCTTTACTGAAATATTTTAGTCTGATTTTCATCTTCAGGAGCTTAGTGTCTAGTGACCTCAATATTAGGCATGTCATCCAGTTTGTTTCTGTTACTTGTTGTTCTGCAGTGTCTCATTTATGCCTTCAGCAGGCTGCACATGAAAACATACAGGGTGTCTAGGATGATTCTCTCTCCCCTTAAACAAAACTTTAGAATGCTTCTCCCAGTGTCCATACCTGAACATACAAGCAATACAAATTTTGCTCTCCTTTATCTTGAAATTTGTGGGGACCACACAGATGACTTGAAGCTGGGAAGCAGTCACTCACCTTTATTTCACTTAGGGAATAATGTTTTTCTCAGGACCTGTACCTAACTGGGCTCTGAGCTCATTGTCATCATTGCTCCTGAAGCCCCACAAGTACTGTTGACCTTTTTTGAGTGGTCAAAACCCTTATGGGCAAAGACTGTTCCAAATACTGTGTTCACATTTCCCATATTAAATGAGGCATTACCACATTCAGAAAGATGTTTTTAAATGTCATCCAATGTTAAATACTCTTTTCCAGGACAGTTGGTCCAAATTAGCATTAAGGAGAATGGATGTCCTGCATATACCACCTTGCCCACTTGGACTCTGAAGGTTTGTTTAGGGGGTAAGTACACAGTCATGAGTCCAATGAACTTTTTCTAATGATCCAACCTTGTACAATAATACTTAAAATGCACACTTGATGATTTTGAAGCACAGAAAACTTGGATTTTCTTGAGTCAAATTCAAGAGAAGCTAGCCAGTTGGAGTGTGTATACGGAACTGTCAAGAAGCTAAAATAGGAAGATACATTGACCAAGAAAGCCTAGTTTATATTAGCATGAATTACCTATAAACAAATGGAACATGAAAATCAGTAACCAAAACTTTTTAACGTGCAAAGCTGAAGAAAACCTCATCCATTCTTACATTAACTACAAACTATTCATTTCAAGTCAGAAAGCTTTAGTTGTTGGTAGGGGCAACAACTCTATCATTAAACCCACTAATAGCTGCATCCCTTTCTGTACCCCAATCTCCCAGCCTGTTTGGTCCTATCAGAGTATTGATTTGTTCAAGTAGCAAACTGAAAACTTCTCTTGGAACCACAGAAGAATAATGATGACCCATCTAAGCTAATTATAACAAGCCTCCAAATGGGCTTCGCTGATCTAGTTTGTGGTCAGTCATGCCCATAAAGAGGCTTTGTAGAAACTCCCCTACACACACACACACACACACACACACACACACACACACACACACACGAGTCCCTGTTTTCTTTCCCTAGATAATGGACTGAGATAGAGCTATTGAAGCTATTTGTTGATATGAAACAAAAATCAAAATAATTATAATAATAATGGTAGAGCAGGGATGCAGCCCCTGAACAAAACTCTATATCATCTGCCTCCTGGTTAGATTTTAAGCAAAACAAACAAACAAAAATACAATACCCTTATGTTTAAAGTTGCTAGTAATTAGCTCTCCTATGACCTGACATAGAAAACATTCATAGCTAGTAAGTACATCTTCAAAATTAGTAACAATGTTTGAAATTTGTGCCTCTTACCATGATACAGGAATCTGCGGCTTCAAGGTCAAAATCAGTGATGTTGAAGAACACACGGTGATGTTTTTCAACTTGAATGACCCAAGAACATTCAGTATTAGCTCTGTAGCCATTGGGGTAATTTGGAGAGTGAATCTCCCCTCTGGGTACCTGGAAAATCCCACCACAACCTGCAAGAAGGAAACCCAGTTCAGCCATGAGAGGGATCCCTGTGACATAAAATTGTAAGTCATTTGGGTCTAACACCATGTATCTGATCACATTAATTCATTCATCCTAAGTTAAATAAGGGGACATGGATAATATGAGTAGAATACTTTAAATACTATAAACATTGGTGTCAAAGGTAAATTAAAATAATAATGTTGGGTATAATTCAGTTACTAGAGTACATAGCCATGCATCCTATAACACCAGTATTTCAGAGGTGAAGACTAGAGCCTCAAAAGTTCAAAGTTATTTGTTACTATATGGAAAGTTTGAGGTCAGCATGGTCTAAATATGATCATGTTTCAAAAAAATAAAAATAGCAAAAATAAATAAAAAATGAATTCATACTTTCACAGACTACAAGGTATCCCTTTGTTGTTTTCTGAAATATCACATTCTCTAAGAATTATCTTTGCCTTTGAAATGTTAGATGGTCCAGTAGCATATAATATTATAAATTCCTTAATGTCTGTCTTTGAAATTGTTAACATTCCATATAGAGTACATTATTTAAGATATGTTTAATTCTTACAGTGTTATCAAACATCTGTTAATGCAAAGTCTACCAATGTAAACAATTGTTCCTTGGATTTATGATAATACAAACAACTGATAGGCAATTCCAGCACTGTTTGCTGGCAGCGGGACTAACTTGACTGCTCTACATATAAATTGGTAATTCACTCTAAGAGAGATTTTACATAGCTCCACACTATCTTGGTATTAAGGAAGTGGCCTAAGGTGGCCTTGTGTCACATCCCTGCACTAGCATATAGCAATGGGACCTTGGGAAAGTCATTGAGCTCTCTAAGCTGCCTTCCCCTTCCCTGCTTGTCAGATGAGGGTATACAATAGATTTCCCTCACAGTATAAATTGTAAAGATTAAATGAGCTAGAAAAGTACCTATGATGTAGTAACTATTGTATGAATAATACTAATCACAGCAACAGTGTGAGTGTCTGCTAGAAAAATGTGATATAATGCGCAATTTTAAAAAATCTGCCATAGGCAACTTATTTTGACAACCTAAGATCCTGGGCAGAAAATCGCTATTGCAACATTTAATTTTGGATTTGACACATTTAATGCTTATTTCTTTTGACATTTTCTAAGAATCCGAAGTCCACTCTATGGCATGATGCTTACTGATGTTTAAATGTGACCTGGGGAATAGGAACTAGTCATGTGTTCAGCAAATAAGTCTCTCCAATCACCGCAATTCTGCTTTTACATGGGCTAGCCTATTTATATCCTGAGAAAGGTAACCCCACCAAGGCCTTTAAGGAAGACCATATATCAAAGCAGCACTGGCTACTCAAGAAGTTTACAAAGTGTAACTTTGTATAACTGTCATGCCTTCTTTAATAATTTTGTAAAATTCGAATTCAGCTCAAATGCTTTCAGGATATTTCCTGTATCACTTACCTCCAGGGACTGCTCTCCATGAAGCATTGAAACCTCTCCCATTTAAATTGCTGTCAGTCTTAAATCGGATTGCTAGCTCATTGTCAGTACTGGAGAGCTGCATGGGGTTCGCTGACGATGTTCGGGAACACAACTGAGCTATTCTTGGAGAGTGAAAATCAAGGCCTGTATAGATCTAACAAGATGCAGAAAAGAGAAAAGGAGCTTAGTTAAAAGATACAGTCAGGCATTTCAGCTTCTTTTTGAGCTGTTTTTTTTTTTTTTTTTTTTTTTTTTTTTTGGCAACAACTCTTAGAATCTATTATGATTAAAGATTGTACTCAGTTTCCCTGGGTGAGATGAAATACAAATTTGAACTGAGTGTTTATAGGCACCCCTTCTACCTTAGGAACACAAATTTTCAATCACCCATTGCTTCATGAAATGATTAAGTTTGAACACACAGATTATTCCAGGATTTTCCCTATATTTTCTTTTTCTGAGAATTCTTGCTTTCTCTGACAGAGGCACTGCATATAATACAGTATAAAGACAGATTTTCTAAGTTTTGTAAATCTCAGGATAAAATTGTTTTTGTTTATAAATATTGAGTTCACTTAAGGCTTTTGATTTTCTAGTTACAATTGTAGAAAATTCCATCTACCCTCAAAATTGAATTTTATTAAGATTAGGAATCAAACATAACAGGGAGTCAAATACAACCTGCAGAAGTGTACTCTGAACATCACAGGAGTAATGTGCGATCTCCCACACTCTCAAGAGTGTGGCCAGGATTTCCCACCGCCCATGTGGAAACCCTCCAAGTCTGTTCCACATGGCTGCAGGCCTCCCAGGCACCTCCAAGTTTGCCCCACTGTTATGTCTGACTGGAATCCCTCAACTCAGTGGCACATTCTGCTGCAAAGGGTTTCCTTTCCTCAGCCCCTACCTCCAGGAGAACTCACATGCCGGACACTCCTTATCTGAGGTGTGTGTAGGACTTGGGGAGTGAGGGGACAAAACAACTTAAAAAGAAGACACTGACACCCTTACTCCCATCTTCAAGGTGTTCTCAAAGTTGCTTTGTAGAAGACAGAGCACTTTGGGTGACAGTTTTCAAGTGTAATGATGTCTGAGCCTGTCACAGCATCCAGCCTCAAAGCCAGGAAAGCATCTCTGGGTGAGATCTCAAAGGGCAGCATCCTCTCACCTCTGCAAGCTGGGCCTCCTTCTCCTGCTCACCGCCCCCACCCACTTCCATGCTCACCCTCAAGCCCTCAGCTGACTGATAGGGAATTCACTAAAGACTTCCCTGGGGAGACAGCGAGAACAAGAAACCCACTTTGGAGGAGGAGTATATGACTTGAATCTATAATGATTTCTTTGTCTGATTATTTCCCCACATCCCTCCCACCCCCAGCCAAGCAGGAACCGTTAAAGAAAAAGAAACTGCTGTTCCCCAGAGGGCTGAGCACAAACACAGTAATTGCAAAGGAATGAAGCAGGCAATTGCTCTGGGCTTATTTTCACTGGGAGGAACTAATGTTTGCTGTTGGTAAGGCCCTGAAAGTGCCATGAAAAGCCGGGCTTTGGGCAGAGCCTCTGTTGTTGCCTCTTTCCATGTATGTACAGGTGAACCGAAGCTCATCTTGCTAAAACTCTTTCTCAGGTCTGTCCTTCCTATCCCAGCCCAGATCACAGTCCCTAGCACATGCAGCCAGCAGCATGTGTTCCTAATCTGAGGAGCCAGCAACCAGTATGTATTCCCAGAGAACACTGCATTGGCGCTAAGTACTGACAAAGAAACCTACAAGTCAGCAAAATAATCTTTGTTTTCCCTGTTCATGCATCCCCTTGAGATCACAAACATAATGGGTATGAGTTGGCTAGGCCTAGAAGCCTCCAAAAGAATAAACACTGCCACTTTGAACATTCTTTGCCTCCCCTGGCTCTGGGCTCAACTCACAAATGACCATTGCTGAGAGGTCTGGCTGTGCAAGCTGCTCACACCAAGCAATTGTTTTGTTTTATTGTACCAGGGTGGGGATTTCCTCTCCAGGTTCTGCACAGAGCTTTCTTGGAGACTGAAACAAAATCAGCCTGGGATTTCCATAACCAAAACAACAGGATGGTGATTTTTGGTTCCCAGAAATAAAACTGATAGCTAACACATGGTCAAAGTGGGAAAGGATGGAAAGAATTTCTGGGTGTGATTCATTCTACTCCAGCTTGTGACTAAAAGCTGTGGGGGCAAGCAATGGTACACTGAGCAGAGATTACCGAGTGTTTTTAGCAAATGCCCAGGATGGGGGAGTACTTCAAAGCCTGCAGTTTTAATCTGCTCTGAACACTGTTTTCTGCTCTGTTAGCTCCATTTATTTTGAAGATCAACTCAGCATTCCAGGGTTATGAGTAGCTCTACGGCTGTTGCTTTGTGCAACTGGCCACTTGTGGACAATGATTCATTAAAGGATGAGGTGGCTCCCAGTAAAAATCAGTGGATCCCAGACAGTCCAGTGTCTAGTGACAGTGAGTCCTACTTGGTTGTGCTCAGCACAATAGGAAATGTGAGTGTTCAAGTTGAGAAAGTTAGCCTTGTTTCTGGAGTACATACCCATCCTAGTAACAGATTTAGAAACCTACTGTCAATGTATTATCAGTGAGACAGCTCCCCTGCCCTACCCCCAGCTGGGTACTGGCAGAGAAATAAAAAGGGTTTGTAAACTAAAGGCTGAGGAGTTACTCATTATAGCCTCCAGGCCTTGACATAGTCCTTCAAATTGTGCTCCTAGCAGAAGTTGTGAGACCACAGAATTGTCAGTTTGTCCTACTAAACATAAACCCAAGGAAGCTGCCACCTCTTGTCACAGATATTTTTGAGCTGGCGTAGGTCCGCCCCACCCCCAAGAGTGCTGCTTGCTGCCTGGAGTCTCTCATTTTGTGCTCTTGAGGGTGCTTACAGAGAACACCACTTGTCTCCTCATTCTCACATAATGGGTATGACAAGACCCAAAGCACAATGAATCCATTTATATTTTGCCAAGTGGGCACCAATCACATGTACTCTGAAATATGAAGATGAAGGGCTTGGAACCTAGAACCGTGTATAGTGCTGCAGAGAATCAGCTGCCAGCCCTTTTTAAGTGTTAAGGGTTTTATGCAATCAAACAGTATCCTTGTTGGTAGAGAAATGACTTCAGCATCCCTCAAGTCTTTCTTCAAGCTCTACGGTGAATTTTGGGAGGCTCCTTTGTTCTCACCACAGAGAGGGGTATGGATTTGACCCAAGGCCTCTCAGTTTTGGCCCTGACTCCCTCTCACCACTGCTTCCTTGTAAAGGGGACTGAGTTGCTGAATGTAATTCCTTGTGACTGTACACTAGGGCTTGAGAACTCCATTTCTTCTTATTAAATAACTTTCAAGGGTTAAAGTATTCCTATAAAGCCCTCTGTGTTATTTTCAATCTTCACTTTATCTGGGTTTGCATAGAGCTGTGAGTAGTGACTGGATTCATGGCTATGTTTTGTAGACCTTCCATTTGTGGAGAAAACTATATCAAAATTAACACATGGAAAACAGCAGCTGCCAGAGAAAGGCTTGAAACTCTCCCTTCCTAGCTTATAGAAGAGATCATGCCCAAGGAAAGTATACAAATGTGGGAGAGGCCTGAGCTGTGTGCATGACCTGTGAAGGTGATGAGCACCGGGGCCCACTACTCTCAAAGACATGCCTTTGCCTCAGCTCTCTAGCCCACTCTCATTCCCTTTTGTTAAAAAACTGTCTCTATGTCTATGTATAACCATGTATCCCTGGTCTAATTCTTTGCCCTGGGACACATGAAACTGTAATCTTCATCAGGTGCCATGGCTATAATAGCCACCACCCAGATGGTCATAAAAAAAGGCCATGAATGTGGGAGTTGATTTGGACAACTATAATATGTGTACAGAGTCCTCCTTGTCTTGCATGGGACTATTCACATCCAAATGTGAATGTGGTTGTGTACATTCATTGTGATCCAAATGTGTATCATTACCACGTGTCAATCACAGTTGTGGATGGATGCTTTTGCTCATTTACAAATATCGGATGCTTACTCTTTGCTTGGCATTTGGCACAATGAATACAGGGTATAAAAGGGACAAGCCAAATGCCCCAGCCTCGTGAAGTCTACATGTCATTAGCTGTAGAATGATGTGAAATAGGAGTTCCCATAGCTGAGGTGATGGGGAATTTGCATGTGCCTAGAAACCATTCAATTTGCTGATATATCCAGAAGTTGATAATTACAACCCTTAAGGCCCAAAATTCTCTAAAGTTGTCTTAATTTTTTGAGATAAACTCTTGAAGTAGCATTGGAAAGTCCTTATCTACAAGGACACACCAAATGACTTAAAGGACAGCCCCCCCCCCGTAGCAGCTGCAGCTGTACCTCTAGCAGAACAGTGGGCAAAACCCCCAGACAGCAGCTGCAGTTATGAAAGCAATATGCTCATGGTCAGTGTGTGGGGGCCCATCTTCCCACTGACTTCCAAATGTGCAATGATTTCTCTAAGGGAGAATCCTCAGACCAGAAGTAGAAGTGTGGACTGCTAAAAACCCCAAGTATAGCCTTTATCAACACGGACCACAGATAGGGGACCAATGAATCAGCCCTAAAAGGGATCAAACCCAACCTGCCCACTGTGGTTCCTTCTGTCCTTTCCCAGCTCTTTACTCATGTTGTTCCCCAATTGCTGCTGGTTCTTCTTACCTCCTAGTGAACCAGCCCCAGCCAAGGCCCGCAGGCACTACAGAGAGAGCTCCAACTGGCGTATTAATCCCATATGTCTGCTAACACTATCCACAGAGAGGAGATACTTATTAGAATGTCTAAGAATAGAAAAGGGACAGCCACTGGAATGAATATGGGCTCTTTCTAGTTTTACCCTAGATTTTTGTAACACACTGAAAAAGCAATCTGACTTCCTACCTCCAGGGTGTCATAGTTGCAGTCTGTGTGATATTCCACATCAAAATCATGGATGGTGAGCTGAATGATATTCCCTGGGGCCACGCGAATGTTCCAGATACATTCCTTGTCAGGAGGATAGCTGTTAGGGTACCCAGGGCTGCTGAAGGAGCCCGTGACTCCAGACATCTCCCCACCACAGCCTGTTGAACACAGAAAGCTTAGTTAGTGCAAGGGCCAACAGTGGCCAGAAAATATTTAAACTTTCATCTCATCAAAGGTGATGGAGGATGTGTAATGCCTCCTATAGGAGAAAAGTTACAATAAAGTTTAATTTTGCCATCATAAAGCAGTAAAAAGAGTGTGGGTATCTCTAAGTGGTAAAACACATGCTTAGGATATACAATGCCTGGGCTTTAATCTCTAGCATAAAAAGTCAAGAAAAGGAAATCATAGTTATTAAATGTATTCTTTTGAGGTAATTATTATTTTATTTCTATAATAATGCTGAGTTCTTATTCCTACCACATCTAGATTTTCTTTATTAGTTTTAGGTGAAAAGACCTAGGGAGAAGACAATGGCTTCTGGGAGTGGGGATCCTGAGTCAACAGCAGAATTTCAAATCTATAAAGGACCTGATTGTAGCCAGGCATGGTGGTGCATGTCTGCAATCCCAGAAGGGGAGGTGGAGACAGGATCAGAAGGACAAGGCCAACCTCACTCCCACAGCAAGTTTGAGCCCAGCCTATAACCCCTGAGATTGACTCAGGAGAGAGGGAGCCCCTGATTCTGGCTCAAGTTCCCAAAAGTGCTAGCTAGCGCCTTCTTTGTGTACTTTTATCCTACTTCCACTTGAAACTTTAATTCCTAGATTTTTAATCTGTAGCTCAAGGCAATACCTTTCCTAAGTCTTATAACATTTCTCCTTTTATTTCTGGGAGGGGGGAATAAATCTCATTTTGAAAAAAAAATCTATTTAAACATATGGACATTATTTTAGACTGTAGAGAATGGTCTAAAAATAAACATAATCAAAGACTAGGAAAGATTTTTCCTACTGTAAAAACACACTGAAAATATTCCTGAAGCTAAAACCAGCATAGCTTGTACAATTCTTCAATATGTCTGCTCAACTCTAGAAGGCACCAGCCACAGTCTATTTACTCTGGAATTGGTACTTCCTGAGCTAGGGCAACACTGGGTCCCATGCTATGTTCGAACATGGAGCTTTCCCTAAATTACAAGTGAGTGAAGCCATTCTGTTTACATGGAGGGTTCCTGAAAACCATTTTATAAAATAAACAACCCAATGAGAAAGCCCTTTGAGAGGATCTGGAAGCTCAGATAGTGCATCTCTGCATCTTTACTTAGGTTCAGCCCATCAGCCGATCGTATCCATTGTTTTAAAATAGTTACTAATCTAAGCCTCTGAATTATATTTTCCCATTGTTCCCATTGTTTTAGGTTCCCTTGTAAATTCTTTGGCACCTAAAAGGATGCTAACACCGTGACCTGTCACTGTACACTGGCATGATGATATCAGATTTTTTTACTCCAGTGTGGCTTTGAAAGCCAAAGTTATAGCCCTGTAGATCCACAGTACCCTCTCCTACAGTTCAAGACTGATAAAATAAGCAAGGTTTGTTTAATAATAGAAGTAAGATATTGTTTTTAAGTATCATTTTATGCTCCCATCAATAGTGTGTGTGTGTGTGTGTGCGCGCGTGTGTGTGTGTGTGTGTGTGTGTGTGTGTGTGTGTGTGTCTTTGAAGAGAAATTCTAATATTTTCAGTTTTACTCTGTCAGGAAAGTGTGATTATGGAAAAAAAGAAGAGAGAGACTGTTAAAACTTGAAAATTATGTTTTTTCTTCATGTTCTCATTACTTCTGTAGTTTACCATATTAAAAGGGTAATATATTTGACTTCAAAGTTCATGTCAAATATAGATTAAAATATGGAATCTAGTTGATTTATGATTGAAACCATAAATCCTAGAAAATAAAGTCAACTCTGATAATTATGTTTAGAAACGTGATGACACCTTTGTTATTCTCAAAAAAGCAAAGTAGTTTTCCAGTTTCCTTTATTCTCTTGTTCACTTACTGAATGAGTTATTACTAGGTATATACTTTATAAGAAGCATTTAATCTCTGAAGAAATAAATCTATGAACATGCATGTTTTTAGGGTTATACACTAGTAAACATTATTGCTTTTTATTTCATTTGCAAAGATTAATTTATTTTATTAAAAAATAACAAGTGAGCTGCTTTTTATACTTTATTGATTAGTTTTTCAAAGCAGGACTGTAGCCAAGAATCTGATATTATCTCAGTGCCCAGTGAGTGGGCAGGGTGTTACTATCTTGCTAGGTGCAAAGGAATTTACAAGGGACCCTAAAACAATTGGAACACACAATGGGAAAATGTAATACAGAGGCTTAAGTGAGTCAACTCTGATTTTAAAACAATGGATACGATTGGCTGATGGGCTGAGCCTAAGTAAAGATGCAGAGATGCACTATCTGAGCTTCCAGATCCTCTCAAAGGGCTTTCTCATTGGGTTGTTTATTGATAAAATGGTTTTCAGGAACCCTCCATGTAAACAGAATGGCTTCACTCACTTGTAATTTAGGAAAAATACCATGTTTGAACATACCATGGGACCTAGTGTTGCCCTAGCTCAGGAAGCACCAATTTCTAGAGTAAATACACTGTGACTGGTGCCTTCTAGAGTTTTATACTTTTGTTTTTTGTTTTTTTTTTTTCATTATTATTTTGAGATAGGGTTTCATTATGTACCCTTGGCTAGCCTGGAACTCACTATGTAGACTAGGTTGGCCTCATAAAGATATGTCTGCCTCTCTGAGTGCTGGGAGCAAAGGTGTGCCCCACTACACCCAGCTCTTAAATGGTATTAATACAAACAAGAATGAATGAATGATCATGTCATAGGCTGTTAGACTGGTGACTTCAGGTATGAGACTTAACATCATAGGAAGGGATTAGAAAGTGAACCCTGAATATGAAAAGATTCATGACAATCAACATTGTGTGGTCATGTTGTGTTTGCGGTTGAATGAATAATAAAATATAGAAGAAATTGGGAGGTTTTTTTAATAACTTAATATTTATGACTAAAATAGATGAAAGTTGACTTAGGAAAGGCATGTCAGGGCTCAACATGAAGAATCTGACAACATGACAAAAATGACAACTAATGAGAGTTTCCAGAGTTTCAAATTTAGTAGAACAGTGATGTGGCTTCTTGCAACCAGTTTATCAAAGGCTTTCGTGGGGATAACAATATTTGTAACTGTTCAATTAACATGTTAGATCAAACCCTTTGGAAACAGTAAATGGGTTGAATGTGGGTTGTGACATTAGACAAAGTGGGCTTCAGTTCTGCTATGATACTTCATGAATAAATAATTTACTATCCCTAACCCTCAGGTCAGCTGCATGAATATTAGTTCCTAACTCATGGCATTTTTACATAAGTTAATAAAAGAGTCAAAATAAGAGTCGTAGATAGGACAATTGTTCGGCTTTTACTACATATTGTCTCCTAGCAAGAGTTTACTAGACTTGAGAACACACTATAAAAATCTCGGGGCTAGGAGTAAAATTATTGGCTAGTAATTTAGGTACCAATAGAGAAAAGATACAAAATGTGTTGTTCATTAAGTTGTATGCTTTTAAGTCCTATACATATGTATATGGCAGTGTACTTTTCAAAATGCTTTTAATAATTACATTATCTTGTTTGAAATTTCTAACAGCAGGAGTTAGGCAGGAATGGTATGTAAGATTCACTTTAGAGATGGTCTGTGAGTCCACAGCACTTAATGAATTCCTCTAGGAAAAATTCTCAGTTATTCTGATGCACACACACCTCCTCCCCCTCTAATTCTGTGTTGTCTCTATGCCAAAGAGACACTGCTGTAGTGCTGTAAGGACCGCATTGGATCCTATCCTCAAGGCTGCTTTGCTCACTGACTAAACAAGGAATTACCTCAGCAACTTGTATAAAGGAAGCAGAGCAAAAGCTTGTCATTGACTTTGAGGCAAATCTGACACTGTCCAGTACGTTAATGTCATAGGCAGCTGCTGAGCAGGACTGCAGTAGGATATTGAAGTGACTCACATGTTTCTCCAGCTTTAAACAGCTAATCTTTAGAAAACCATTACCAGTGACTGATAATCTATTTGATTTTATTTTCCTCCAAATCCCAGTCATCAGCTGAAAGGAAGCATTTACCTTATCAGCAGGAAGCACACTGCTCTATGGTGCTCTCAGCAAGGACAAGTTGAAAACTGTTGCTAAGTCTGTCTATTTGGATAGATAATTAAACATTCTGTTCATGAAATAACTCACCTAATACCATTTGTGTTTTGTCTAGAACAATCTATGAGTTTCTAAATTGCAGCACAAGAGTACAGTAAGGGTCTCCTATGTGTATTCTGTCTTTAGGCCAACTATGACTGGTATTCAGTTCACCCTCTGGGTCACTCAAAATTGTCACCTCTTCATGTTTGATGTTTTACTAACACTATAATCCACAAGCCAATTTGTCAGGAGGGGTGCTTGTACGGAACAAATACGGCCAAAGTCCACTAACACTGAAGAAACTGGGAAGCCAGCTTTCAGGGTACCCTCACACTCTGTGCTCTACTTCCTGAGGGTCATGCCTGAGAAATCAGCAGTTGATGATACAAAGCCTAACAGCTGGAGTATAGTAAAAACAGCAACTACAATAAAAACAAATGTTAAACACAAAAAATTGAGAAGGTTCACATACTCAACTGAATATTGATTTATAATTTAATAGTCTTTCTGTGACATAAAAAATGCAGACTTTTGTTCTGTAATACCTTGAAATGGGTTCATTGGCCAGGTCAACTTATTTCTATAAAAGGACTCTTTGTGCCTCTGCCTATAATTGGCTGACTTACCACTGGTTTGTTTTACTGAAGCTAATTTTATTTAAAACACACAAGTACAAAAGCTTGAAGGCAGAGTATCCATGGAAGAGCCTTATTTTATTCTCTGTACTGGAATTTAAAAAGTCATGGCTTATGTCAGCTATAATTAAGACAGTATTAAGTGAGTTCTGTTAGGAACAACACTTTTAGTTATCTTCAAAAGAAAGCAAGTTCAGCAACAGCCAGAAAGGACAAGAAAGAAGGTCTGGAGAGGACT